CACACACACACACACACACACACACACGCACCCACCCACGCACACACGCACCCACGCACACACCCACGCACACACGCACACGCACACACGCACGCACACGCACACACACACACATACACACACACACGCACACGCACACACGTACGACACACATACACACACACACGCACACGCACACACGCGTACGTGTGTCTGTACGTACATACGTGTACACAGACACAAATACGTGTGCGTGTCGACGACGGGCTTATTGTGGAACAACAGAGAGAGTTGAGGAGGTACTTACCGCCTCCCGTCTCGACTCGTGGCCTCTCTCTCGCTTCCCTGTGGTCCCCCACCTCGTCTTCACCTCCCTCGCCCACTCTGACTCCACCTCCACCTCCACCTTCCCCCGAACCGCGTCCGTCTCGTCAAAGACACCCGTCGCGGTGCTGCCCCACCTTATCCCCCGTTGCCTTCCAGCAGTTCGTCCCCCCGGCGTCTGACGCTTGAATCCCGAATTAACGCAGACCACAGCGCCTATCAGGACTGTGTTGTCGGAAAATATAAAGTAAAACAAGGACCTGGTCCGCTGCCCGCATGCCAGAGACGCTGACCTAACCCCGAGCTGACCTACACCCCAGCTGATCTGGTCCCCTTGCTCGGTCCCATGCCTTCGCTTGTGCAAATGGGAAAGAAAACCGGAGGACTACCGCTTGACGCAAAGTTGCCGGCTTTGGACACCCGCGGGCATTGCTGCACACACCAATGCATGGTAAGGATTACAGACACTGCCTGTGCCACCCAGGGGTTCAGTCCATGGTTGTTGTATGTCAGGTCTGGGCTATGTGGGGGTTTCTTGAGGAAACCCCTCTCTTGGTTCCTGGTTTGCTAAGGTTGCGTGTTCGAATCTGATCTGGTGGGATGCAGGCAGGGGTAGGATAGATCACATAAGTTGCTTACCTTAGGGCTCTGCTATGCGGGGGGTAGGGCCGTGAGGTGAGATAGGTTAGGGGGGTGTCCTGTTGGGAGGGGATTAGGTAGGAGAGTCCTGAGATAGGCTGCCCTAGGAGATAAACTGATATATAGCCCTGCCAGAGGTTGAGGTATCAGGACGGTTGTGGGGCCTGTTACGTACTAATGACCTGTGACCGGTGCTGTTCGGGATGAGGGCCCTAGTAGGGATCTGGCGCTGACGACTCTCTTAGGGATAGAACAGGATGGATAGCCTGCCACCCACATTAACAAATAGCTTACGACCAACAACGATCACAATAACAACCGAACAACCTAACAATAAGAACAGTAGTAACAACAGCAATGCACACTGCGACAACCTAACAACAACGTGACGAACTAGCTTCTGTAATGCGCGACTTTCTGCGCGAAGCGCTAAGCGGGGTCCCACGTCGATTGGACGGGTTGATGGAAAATTGCATGTGTGTCCTTGCTTTCTTCGTTGTTTCTTCGTTCGCGCACGAGGCCCTGATGACAGTTGGGGACAATTCGGGAATGCACGGGGAAAAGGGGGTGAAACTTGGTCGGATGGATGCGGAGTGCGCACCGAGTGCGCGATTAATAAACGTTGACGTCGCTTCTTTTCTTTCGTTTTCCCTTCTTTTAATTTTGTTTTCTGGGGCGCTGCTCTGCGTGTTCGCGCGCTCTTTCTCGCTGCTGCGTCAGGACCTTGATTGATTGGCGCCTTAATCCTTTTGCAACTGTAATTTTGGGCGCACACTTTTGTAACTGTATCTTTCTGTTTCTTGCTTCTTATTCTTCCCGCCTCGTTTCTTCCTCTCTCCCCTCCYTWGCTRGGTAGYCGCGTTTGCATGTTCRGAWYGATGCRTGGAGTTGGGTACGTCCCCCACGCYGCKGCCCGACCGTGCAAACGTAAGCACTCCCTTTCTCCCATCTATCTACGTCCTTGTAATTCCGTGTTCTTCGCGCATGCATGCACGCTATAAATTCCGGCTGCGCGATTAACTTTCTCTCTTAACAGTTGCTGGAAGCTCGGGGTTGCGCGATTGAGAGGGTCGGCACACGAGCGAAGTAAGAAGCGAGTGAAGTGGGAGTCGGGCGACCCGACGAGCTGGTGCCGAATGCGCGGGGTTGACGCGGGCCACGACGGACTGTGGGCGCGGAGCGAACCTGGCGGGCGCAGGAGGACTAAGCGGGGTGGCGGCTTCATGTGTTGGTGCGCGACGACGAACTGTCGGCATCGGAGAGAGAGAGAGAGGAGAGAGAGTTGAGGTTGAGGATGGACATGGATTTGCGCTTTTCTTTTCGGCCTTTTTTTTATCTGTGTATATAAATTTTGGTGTCGATTACGGGCAACTCGCCCTTGTCTTTGCGGCCATATACTCGTCCTGTTGTTCGATTTGATTCTTTTTTTTTGTATCGATGTTTTCTCCTTTTTTCGTTCCTTCTCCGGAATCCTCTTTCCCTTCGAACCCTCGTACATGATGAATGAGAATGGAGATTGCATGTTGGCGTGATCAGTAGAGTGTGTTGGCTTGTCGAATCTTACGGGTAGTCTGGAGCGCACCATCCGACGTGCCATATGGGCACCTGCAAGTTCGATCCGAATGGAGCGCGGCTTACATGTGTCCATACCACTCGGACCCGCCAATCGCGTCTTGGCTAACGCTCGTAGTCAGCCCCTCACTGAAGTAGGAGTCGATGTCAACCGGGATCGGGTTACCCATCACGCGTAAGTGCGCGTAAGTGCGACTTGTTCGCATCTCTCTTACGCACTTACGAGCCGAAGGCGTGGGCCCCAAGGACCGCCTCAACAGGCTCCCTAGAACTGGCGATCACGTCAGGATCGGATGGCCCCGCACAACCAGCGTGCAAGCCCGCGCCCGTAAATTTTTTCATTGCTCTATTGCATCTCTTCCCTGAACTCGGCCACAGAAGATCCCAGTTCCGACCTGGGACTTCAACCACCACTTTCCCAAAAATCCTTGGCACACCCCTCTTCGCACTTTCAGGCCCCCATCCCACTCCGATCAGGAAGTCGCGTCGGGCGTGAGGTTGGTATCGGAGCCCGACACGTGGCTAAGCGATAGGGTCTGTAGACTCAATATTGGCTAAGGCGAGGCGATCTGGCTCCACGTAGCCGCCCTTCAGTTGGGGATACATGCCAACATAGTCCTGTAGCTACACGAAGCCGAACGTTTGCCACAAGGCAAGCAGGCGCCATGGCTGCGGCCGCTGCTGCAGCAGCCGCTGTGGTGGTCAACCCCAACCAACAGCCTAACCCGCCTGCGCCGCCTGCACGAGTCCCTGCGGCTCCACCAGATCTTTATTTATTTGATCCAGCCCACCATCTCACTGGAGTATGGTTAGCCATGCTCCGAGCTCGGCGGTATACGAACGATGAAGCTCAGATCAACATCCCCGCGTGGATGGGGGGGGACGCCCATCATTGGTATAGCACTTATGTATGGGTGGATCTTCCCACATTCGAGCGGGATTTCATGAACCACTTCGATTATGTTCACCCCGAACAAGCACTCTATATGATCAAGGATCGAGTCCAGAAACCACTCGAATCCATTACCGAGTATCGGAACAGATTTCATCGAATGTTTGTAAAGACTGAGCGAGGCGAGCAGGTAGGTCGGGACCTGTTCATTGATGGACTACGTAACAGAGCGATTCGGGGGAAGCTACGTAAAAAATTATCTCCCATTAACCACACGCTGCAACAAATTATGGACGCTGCCGAAGAAATGGAGCTGAAGTTCGCAGTTAGCTTCTTAGAAAATGAGGATTATGGTAGAGAAGGAGACTCGTCAGAACTTGTGAAAGCAAGGGCGGAACTGGCCGCACTGCAAAACAAATTCGAAAACATGGGATTCGTAGCCGGATCCGTTACGTATGTAGAACAGGTGACATCGAGGACCGCACCATGTGGAGCGACTGTAAACAAGCAGATCTCGGTAATGGCGTCTCCAACCGTAACTCAGCCACCTCCACCGCCACCCACCATCGAGTCACCCGCAAGAGCGAATGAGTCTACTGCTATCTTGGAGCTAACTAAAACATTGGTTAGTCTAATCCAAGAAAGCAAGAAGGAACAGCGAGAGCACAACGCCCGATTAGAAGCTATGATGCGGAATATGCGACCCATTGCGGTGCGAGCACCAATGCAGGGAGGCATGGCTGCTGCACAAGTTGCAGCGAGGCCAGTCGGGACAGCGGCAAATGCCTGTTTTACATGTCATCAACCGAGACACTTGGCCCGAGATTGCCCCCATCGGGCCATGCTGCCTCGAGTCGGGGTCGCGCCTGCAGCTGCAGCTCCCATAGCTAACGGCCCAGGACGTGTAGGAGCCATGATGGATGATCAGGGGGGAAGTAATGGAATGATGATTTCCAGTGAGGAAGCAGCCGAGCTTATCCCGCTGGAGCAGTATGTATCACTAGGATACCCGGGGCTGGGAATGATTGGGACGATTCGACCGGAACTCGAGTCCAGAGATGTCGTCGAATGGCGGCCTTCGTCGAGCGAAATGGAGACGGGAGGCCCTACCTTTGTTACAGGGGAAATCGATGTCCTCGAGGTTACCCGAACACTAGATCATCGAATCCCTCTCCCAATCGGCCACCTACTCTCCATTTCGGAACAGGCGAACGAACGTATGATGCAGCATTGCAAAGCGAACCGGAAGCGATTCGCCCTTGCACGCGCAAAAGATCAGAAGGCGAAGGCGCCGACTTTGGAGGAAAAGGCGGACGTCGTCCCTGACGCCATCCGAGTCGGATTGATACAGAAAGATGACCACTTTCTTCGGATCAAGCCGATTCCGTGGAAGTCAGCCGAATGTGATATTGAAGTATGGGGAGTGCCGTATAGTGCGATCATAGATTCGGGAGCGGTTGTCCTAGCGATATCACTCCGAGTAGTCAAGAGAGCGGGTAGGAAGAATGATTTGATTATGCTAACCGAGAAGGACCAGCTCGTATCGACTGACGAGGAGAAGATCAAGACAGTAGGACGAATGACGAATGTCACGTTCCGATTGGGAAAGTGCATGCTTTAGGAGATGTTGTGGTGCTGGATGTGAATACGTATGACGTTCTTTTCGGGCTTCCTGCATTGGTGGCGCTGCGTGCTAATGTAGACTTCGAACGCCGATCCGTCATTCTCCGGAATACCGGGGGAAAGCCGTATGTAATACCCATGAGACTAACTCTTCGAACGTCGGTTAAGGTAGTACCCCGAATTTCTCCGGAAACAATGGGAGCGCTCCGCATGGTCTCCTGGAGTGCACCTGTGGACGGAGGCCAATCATCGAACGACGCGGGGAGCGATGACGATGACGATTCAGTCGTTACACGGTTAGTACGGCAACGGATTCACTACCCGTCGCCTCGCACTATTGCGCGTACCATGCATCTAACCGCACGGAATGCTCATATGATGATCATGGGAGAACCCCTCGTACAGATTTCGAGGTTGGTTGATTCCTTGGAACCCCCTCGGACCCTGTACGAAGGCGTATCTCCCCTTCTCCTTCGGTATAGTGACAAACGTTCCTTTTGTGATCTCACTGGCTTACCTCGATCCCTGCTTCAACCCGCAAAAAAGGTTCAGTTGTTGCGTTTGGGAGCCGAAGCAGGTTCTTTGGAACCCCCTCAGCGCATCGAGGCAAGATCCGATGAACTCGGGATCAAAATCTCGCCCAAAAGCGTGCCCTGGCGAGACATCTGCGACGGGATAACCCCCGAAGGTCATACAGCGATCAGGGAGGAGGAAGCACAGATGGTGGCCACTGTGTTTTCTTGGAGATCGGATCACTCTTTTATATCTGCACCGCCGGAAACTACTCGGCGTATACACACGAAGCAGGTTAACGTTCGGATTTTGGATCAAATGTATGAATTGCATGTGCCCCAGTATGTACCTGATGAGATCCATCGGCTGATCGCTGATATTTTAATAGAGTATCAAGGGGCGATTAGCGTGTCCGATGCCGATATTGGGTTATCTGTGGTCGTTCAGCATGCCGATTCAGACCGAGAATCATTCCCCGATCCACTGCAAGCCGTGTCGATACTCGTTGACAGAGCGCAAGACGACCTTGCAGCGAATCAGGGAATTTGAGGCAAACGGATGGATTGAGCCTGCCACCGGTCCCTGGTCGTTCCCAGTTGTATTGGTTCCTAAAAAGAACGGGTCATTCCGCATATGCATCGATTATCGAAARCTAAATGATATCACGATTAAAGATGTRTATCCCCTTCCCCGGATTGATGATCTGCTTGATGCGATCGGGTGTGCTAACTACTTCAGCAAGTTCGACATTCGGCATGGGTTTCATCATATCTTGGTGAAGGAAGAAGATCGGCCCAAGACCACCTTCGTTTTGTTTGAAGGCACGTGGCAGTGGGTTCGGTGCCCGATGGGAATCTGCAATGCGCCTGCCACGTTTCAGAGGGCGATGAACGTGACTTTTCAGAATTTCGTCAATAAGACACGGCTGACTTAGGGGATGATTAACTTTTGTGTCATTGTGTACATGGATGACATTCAAGTGTACTCGGACACGTTTCACGGACATGCGCAGCACATCGAATGGACGTTGGGCGCGTTGAGAGACGCAGGTTTCAAGATTGCGCTGAGCGAGTTTTTCCTCCCGGAAATCTCGTTCTTGGGGTATGTGGTGACACGAGGAGGCCTGCGGCCGGACTCTCGAAAAGTCGCGGCGGTCAAAGAGGCCCCAGTTCTGACCTCACTGACGCAGGTTCGAGCCTTCTTGGGCCTGGCCTCGTATTACCGGCGGTTCATCAAGGGGTTCGTGGCTATAGCAAGGCCTCTGACAAACCTGCTGCGAAAAGAACAGCCCCTTCATTGGGATGACGAGTGCGACCAGGCCTTCGGGGACCTGAACGATGCTTCGTCACGGCCCCGATTCTGATTTGACCGGACCCCTCTTGGTAGTTTATTCTCATCACCGACTGGCAGCCGGAGGCTATCTCGGCCATTTTGGCACAGAAGGGAAACGATGGGAAGGAGCATGTCATCGAGTACGCTTCCCGGACGGTGTCAGACGAGCGACGAAACGATTCCGCGCCACAAGGAGAATGCTATGCGGTAGTGTGGGGTATCCAGCACCTCCATCCGTATTTGTACGGTCAAAAGTTTCTGCTCGTCACCGACCATGAACCTCTGTTGGCTCTGAAAAAGCTAACCGACTACACGGGCATGATCGGACGATGGGCAGTGCGGTTGCAAGAGTATGAATTTGACATTGCTCATCGAAAAACGGAGAGACACGGCAACGCCGACGGACTGACATGTTTGCACCGACCCGGTAAAGTACCAAAGGCGGAAGAAATCACACCGTGGAAGGACCCGGACATCAATAACGGTCCAAAGTATGGAGAAGTTGTGATTATTCCACGTGGCAAGAAGTCGGTGAAGGGCAATGGGTGACGGAGGTAATGTCCAGATTCCCTCTCTTTCTTCCCCATCCTCTTCTTTCGCCTCCCTTCCTGACAAATTTTGCTATTTCTGCGAGGCAATCTCTCAAGTCTATTCCGTCCACATGTGTCCTAAAGGGAGGGGATATGTTGAATGGGTAGACTGTCGGAAATGTGTCGCACATGCTCATGGTGCGTGCATACAGTATCGGAGTAGTGATAGACCCTGGTTCTGTCCCTTATGTCGCACTGACAAGATTCCGACGGAAGCCCGATTCCTCGATGCCACGTCGGAAGGCCCCGACAAAATTCAGAAATTTATAAGAGCGGAAGTCTGGACAGATGTCGCCTTGATAGCCACTGTGGTAGGGAACTCCCTCGAAACCTTCTCCAAGGAGGATCGGAGGAGAGCCAATGAAAGAGCACGGGATTACCGATGGGTGGACGGACGATTAGAAAAGCGTAAAACAGACGACAGTGGGGCATGGTTAGTAGTTCCACACCTGTTTATGCGGTACGACTGGGTACGGACAGCCCACGAGGAGACGGCGGCGCATTTTGCCGTGCGTATTACCGAAGCTGCGATTCACAGAAATCAATGGTACTGGTCCAATATCCGGGACGCCGTTAAATTCATCATCCAACACTGCCAGGTCTGCGCTGCTGACAAGGCCCCAACCCAACCGCCTAGGTCGATAGTCCCAACGCTGGTTGAACGGCCGTTTTAGAGGGTTAGTATGGATACTACAAATATAGTGGTGCCCCCCGGACCGAATAGTTGCAACTGTTCAATTCTGCTGGTTTTCGTCGACCACTTTTCTAAGTGGATCGAGGCCTACCCCTGCAAGACATGACAAGCCGCGGAAATCGCGTGGTACGTCAACCGTTTTCTAGGCATGCACCAGGACACCGAAGAGATCCTGACCGACAATGGGGTCGAATTTAGAGGAGAAGTCGAGAGGAACCTGGTCATACACGGCGTCTCCATACGGCACACGGCCCCGCACATATCCCAGTCTAACGGATTAGTGGAAAACACGAATAGGGTGATAAAAACGGCCTTGCGGCGGAATATTGCGGCACGTGACCCCTGACCCTGGCCTGATATTGTCGACCACATCTTGGCAGTCCATCGCGGAACGCCCCACGAATCGACGGGCCTAAGCCCCTTCAAGTTGCGGACCAATAGTGTCGCGTGTGTGTCGATACCGAGCCTCCCCGACGAATCAGGACTCAACCGACGCCCCATAAGGGCCACCGCTCGGGACAAAGCCAAAAGGCACCTGGAACTTATGGAGCGGTCCCTATCTAGACTGGCCCGGAAGCGACAACGGTCCACCGAATTGGCCCATGGCCGACAGGTCTGGAGTTACGAGGCCCGGAACGGGAATGCGGGTCCCAGGACCCAGTATAAGTTAGGGGACATCGTGTAGGTAAGGAAATGTGCGCGCCAGGGTAAACTAGCGCCACGATTCTTCGGACAGTATCGAGTGATTGAACTCGGACCCAACGGCGTGGACACCGTGCACCTCGCTCCCGAGGTTTCCGGCAGTCGATCGGCTCGCCCGATCACACGCCACGTGTCCTATCTCCGTCTTCTTCCCTCTGTTCCGTCTCCTTCTACATCAACCTCTCCCGACGACGACTCTATCTCCTCTGCATCTCCTTCTCCTTCTCAATCTCTGTCGGATATGCCGTCACCCTCACCGTCGCCATGAGCTTTATGGAGGAGAGAGCTCTAGGTGAAGAAGCGCTGGTAGCACATGGGAATTTGACACTGCGGCAGGTACATCATCCTCGTCTTAGTCCGGACCTTCAGCGGCTTGCGCAGTTCTTCTGCTCGAAGGGCGTCTACGCGGCAGCAGAGATCCACGTCGACGGGAGGGCTGACGCAATCATATTGGCTGAAGCTGTCAAGTTGCGACAGCGAGCATCTGCGGGCGTCGGCCGGATAACGGTGGTAGTTAATTTCAGTGGAGATCACACGGCGATCCCCCCCTGCCGACACACGAGAATCAAGGTGGCGTTGCTTCTGTGGGTGCACAATCTTCAGAACGAGTGGACCCAGCTCCTGGCGCACCAAGGGGACGTGATCACACCAATCCGAGCGATCGAATACAACGGCCTTCGGCTGGATCGGTGTGACCCGCCGATGTACTTACCCCCTCTCATCCCCTTCCATCCCCGATGAGCTCCTTCCCGATCTCTACTTTCGAAGCTTCCTTCTTCCTTCCCCACCTTTTGGCAATCTGATCTTCATCCCCGCCTCTCCTTCTCCATAAATCCTCTGGTTGTTCCCCTCCTCGATCCCTCTCAGTGGGACGCGTGGCGAAGAGACTTCATCGAACTCTCACTGTGTTTGGTGGAAGTACGAGTGGCGTGGACGAGGGACGAGAGAAATTATCCGCGGTCTGAGCGATTGGAGCTCCTTTTGATTCAGGCGTGGCGGACCGAAGTAGAGGGGGACCTTCTCAGTTTTCTATTCGGGTCAGTACGTCCAGGCTGTCGGAGGCTTCTCACCCAGGAGCTTACGGTCCCGATTGCGCAGCTGGCCGACGATCTTGACGTCAGCATTGTCTCCCAGGTCGACCCGCGCTTGGTGCCCCACGTCACCTCGCGCACGCTGTCGCCGTATCTTCAGTGGTCAGCTTGCGTGGAGGGCTTCCCATCGAGAATTTCGCCTTCACGGTTGGATTATTTGGATCCGCGCGACATCGTGGATCCCGCTTTCTACAGACCGTCGTACGAGGACGAATTGGAGGAGATAATCCGCGAGGAGCTTGCGGAAGAAAGTTCGGAGGAAGAGGAGGAGAATCCGAACAAAGACGAAGGGGAGCCAGCACAGCAGCAAGAAGGAGAAGAAGACGAGCTCCTGCAAACGGAGAACGAAGAGGAAGCAGAAGAAGAACACAGCGAGCAAGGGAGCGGTGACGACAACGACGAGGAGCACGCCGACGAGGATCTCCCAGCTAGAAATTGCGCCGGTTGCTGATCTTCCGATCAGCAACGATCCAACGCTCGACCCGGAGCCACCTCAGCCAGACGACGGCGATGTGGCCCCGATGGCTGGGCCGTCCGTTCGCCGGCCTCCTTCCCCACCGCGACACCGATGATGAAGCCGCTCCCCCTCCGCCTCCCTCTCCCTCGCGGCCCGTCCCGCACTTCGAGCACGTCGAGATGAGGCCGATCAGTCTTCGTCCTCAGGATCTCTCTCTCCGACCCCATGACTTCCTCACCCTACGCCAGCTCACCCGTTCCGTCGTCTTCCCCCACAATCCCTTCCCCCGCGACACTTTTCGTCATTACTTCTCCATTCGTCTCTCTGTCACAGTCCATCCCCACTTATCCTCCCGGCGTGCTTCCCCTAAGTGCCCTCTCCATGTACTTCTTTTTAGCGTAGGATGGCGTCGTATCAACGCCGTATAGGTTTATTGCCTCTTCACGGGGTTAATCCCCGCATGCACCGACCGCGATCGCTTTCGCGCGGCGCTTCTTAGAACCTTCACCACTCTCTATCCCGACTACCTCGCTTCTCTCCCCACTACTGGCCGCCGATTTCCCCGCTTCCATAGAATCGTCCATCATCGGAGCCTTCCGGAGACGAACGATGAGCTGGAACGTTTCTTCCCGCCTATCCCAACTCATCCCCCATCAACACCTCCACCTGCCTATCGTCTTCCTTTTCCTCTTCCCCACGAGTGACGACAACCAGGATACGACTACCGCGCAGCATGACTTCCACACTCGTTCGCACGGTATGCGGCAGAAAAGAAGATCAACCATCCACGACCAATCAATCGAAGATGATCGACACGTCTGCTAACAAGCAGGAGCTTGCTTATCTTTGGAACCCCCTGGGCGTCACATATGTGACGAACTAGCTTTTGTAATGCACGACTTTCTGCGCGAAATGCTAAGCGGGGTCCCACGTCAATTGGACGGGTTGATGGAAAATTGCATGTGTGTCCTTGCTTTCTTCGTTGTTTCTTCGTTCGCGCACGAGCCCCTGATGACAGTTGGGGACAATTCGGGAATGCACGGGGAAAAGGGGGTGAAACTTGGTCGGATGGATGCGGAGTGCACGCCGAGTGCGCGATTAATAAACGTTGGTGTCGCTTCTTTTCTTTCGTTTCCCTTCTTTTAATTTTGTTTTGTCGGACTTTTAGGCGCGCAGACATCGCACGGGAATTTCGGTGTCTCTTTTTGAATTTCCTTCTTGAATTTCCTTTTTGAATCTTGGTCGGATCCATATGGCCTTCGGAATTTTGATTTTCTTTTTCGGACCTTTTCATAATATCGGCAGGCTAGCTAGGAATTTAGGAATTTTGGAATTTCCGTTTTTCTAGGGCGCTGCTCTGCATGTTCGCGCGCTCTTTCTTGCTGCTGCGCTAGGACCTTAATTGATTGGCGCCTTAATCCTTTTGCAACTGTAATTTTTGGCGCACACTTTTGTAACTGTATCTTTCTGTTTCTTGCTTCTTATTCTTCCCACCTCGTTTCTTCCTCTCTCCCCTCCTTAGCTGGGTAACCGCGTTTGCATGTTCGGAATGATGCATGGAGTTGGGTACGTCCCCCACGCCGCGGCCCGACCGTGCAAACGTAAGCACTCCCTTTCTCCCATCTATCTACGTCCTTGTAATTCCGTGTTCTTTGCGCATGCATGCACGCTATAAATTTCGGCTGCGCGATTAACTTTCTCTCGTAACAGTTGCTGGAAGCTCGGGGTTGCGCGATCGAGAGGGTCGGCACACGAGCGAAGTAAGAGGTGAGTGAAGTGGGAGTCGGGCGACCCGACAAGCTGGTGCCGAATGCGCGGGGTTGACGCGGGCCACGACGGACTGTGGGCGCGGAGCGAACCTGACGGGCGCAGGAGGACTAATCAGGGTGACGGCTTCATGTGTTGGTGCGCGACGACGAACTGTCGGCATCGGAGAGAGAGAGAGAGGAGAGAGAGTTGAGGTTGAGGATGAACATGGATTTGCGTTTTTCTTTTCGGCCTTTTTTTTTATCTGTGTATATAAATTTTGGTGTCGATTACGGGCAACTCGCCCTTGTCTTTGCGGCCATATACTCGTACTATCGTTCGATTTGATCCTTTTTTTTTGTATCGATGTTTTCTCCTTTTTTCGTTCCTTCTCCGGAATCCTCTTTTGCAAATGATGTATGGATGGTCGCGCACCTTCGCATTTTCGTTTTTGATCGTTTTTCTTCGAACCCTCGTACATGATGAATGAGAATGGGGATTGCATGTTGGCGTGATCAGTAGAATGTGTTGGCTTGCCGAATCTTATGGGTAGTCTGGAGCACACCATCGGACGTGCCATATGGGCACCTGCAAGTGCGATCCGAATGGAGTGCGGCTTACATGTGTCCATACCACTCGGACCCGCCAATCGGGTCTTGGCTAATGCCCGTCGTCAGCCCCTCACTGAAGTAGGAGTCGACATTAACCGGGATCGGGTTACCCATCACGCGTAAGTGCGACTTGTTCGCATCTCCCTTACGCACTTACGAGCGGTGATCTCCCCGATTAACTTATCCCCCAAGGCGTGAGTGATGAAAGAATGACGAGCTCGCGGAGGCTAGACGTATCTTGGAATTCCGGGGATTACGAGTCGTATTTCGGATACCGGGAAATCTGGGAAGAAGAGCAACTCCGATTACGGGAAAATTTGAGAAACCCGGTGTTCCCCTGCCTCACGGAAAACGATAGATTCTGCGCTAGGGAATTCCATCTCGCCGTACGAGGCGACCCACTGATACCCGACTACCCAAACACGTACAACACGCAGTATTTCATAACCCCCAGCTTCGTCCTTATCGCCACTAATTTCCCGCCATACCACCTCCTCCTCCCCTATCATCAGCTTATAGTAGTATCGTGGAATTCCATAGCGCCTTATTGGCCCTCCACCCCGCGCAGAAGCTGCAGGCGATGTGCCCATACCCGAACCCCCGGAGCCTCGGCACCTAGGCATAGTTCCCAACAACCCACGCCACGTGGCGGACCCCGAAGGCATGGGCCCCAAGGACCGCCTCGACAGGCTCCCCAGAACTGGCGATCACGTCAGGATCGGACGGCCCCGCACAACCAGCGTGCAAGCCCGCGCCCGTAAATTTTTCCATTGCTCTATTGTATCTCTACCCCTGAACTTGGCCACAGAAGATCCCAGTTTCGACCTGGGACTTCAACCCCCACTTTCCCAAAAATCCTTGGCACACCCCTCTTCGCACTTCCAGGCCCCCATCCCACTCCGATCAGGAAGTCGCGCCGGGCGTGAGGTTGGGCGTCACAGCACACTGCGACAACCTAACAACAACAGGAGTAACAACAGCAGTGTACACAATGGTAGGAACAGGAATAGGTCCTCCACCTATGGGACTTGTAGAGAATGTCTATACCTCGCGCCCAAAAGTACCTGTTCGACAGAGCTCGTTCGACTATGCTCAGATTAGGGCCGAGTAGGGTACGTGGGGCTCTGATTAGCCCTGGTACCTGCAACCACTGTCTGGTCAGGTCGTCCCCATCAAAAGATGACCGGAGGGTGATAGTCCTGAGTGGTAGACACTGAAGTAGGGTCGTGGGAGTAGGGGTGCACCGGGAAGACATTACGAGAGTGGGAGGTTTAGAGGGAGTCACATAGGAATGGGGGACCTCTATAGACCATCTGGATAACCACATTACCGATTGTTGAAGGTGACTGTCATATGTCTGGAGTCCAACCTCCGAGTCTACAACAACCTGGGCTTTTTAAGAAGGGGGGAGAGGGGGAATTTGCGGCACTGCAGTGTGGATGGTTATGATAAGCTGGGATCCGTACTTCGCGGCTTCACGTACCCTTCGGAGTAAACTCCGAGGTAAGCCTCGAACCAGGGATCTTAGTTGTTCAGGAAAAAACGGGTCCATTTTTCATTTTCGAGGTTAATGGCATGCATCTTTCAAAATTACCCCTATCCTTGTTCAAATTAGTTCTTCGCGCGGACGGTTAGCGATCGCGTGAAGAAATCCAAGAAACAGTTACGAATTTCAGTTGGATGCATTTAAATTTTCTTTGTGTTAAAGTGCACGGGACCATTTTCGAATTCTTGCATGGCTCATAAGCTTTGTTCCCGCTTTGTGCGTGTGCGCCATCGTCCCCTCTGGCTGAGCGCTTCTCCCTGCATGTCCTTTCATCTCCCCTCGATTCCGCACCCAATCCTCCTCTTACCCTTCGGGGCGATCGATTGGTCACTAGTTGGGATTGATCGCAGTTTGGACGACCACCCCAATTGAACGAGGAATACCGATCTCCCTGCCTCCTTCGATCTTCTTGGAACCTCCTCTCTTCCTCTGTCCTGATCATCTACATCCCTTGCTTCCCGCACCACATGCTAGCACCTCACCGCCTTCCACGTTATAAATTCTCGCAGCCCCTTCCTCTCCTCCTCTTTGATCTCGACTGCAATGTTGCGCAAGCTATGCGCGAAGACCACCGCGTCGAACAGGCTCGACGTGCCCAAGTGACGAGCGGAGTGACTACATAGGGTGGGTTGGCGGTAGACTTGAGGGTACGTGCGGTCGGAGGGACTGAGCGGTGGTGGAGATAAAACGTGGCCAGCGGCAAAGGCCGCAGAGCCTTGTGGCTATGGTTGGTTGACGTTCTGGTTGGTTGGGGGTTGTGCCTGATTGAAGCCGGTTTTGTGCAATTTTGAATAGCGAGGGATTCTCTCTTTTCTCCATTGTTGCTTTGTCGAAGTGTTGTGCGTGCAGTAGACTAAGTGTGGGTACTAAGTCGCATCCATGATATTGATTATGAGGGTCTATGGATGTTGAGTGCTTCGTTGAACAAGATGCATGCATGTATGGATGTGGAGTGATGTCACGAGTGTAAAGCTTCGTAGGCGCGACCTGGGGGAAAGGTGGGTGTGTCGGACGTCTACCTGTATCCATGAGTGTGTTGATCTCCCCTTCCTTGCCTTTCCCACCCCTTGCCAATTCCTGGCACTATCCATGAGTGCAGGGAATCGTCGCCCACTCTTCCCTCTCTTCCCTCTCCCACGC